TACTGACAGACCCCTCTTTCCCCTCTTATCTGCACAACCACCTCCGTGAAACTACGAAGTAACCAAAGGGGAGGCTTCTGATCTAGACTGTCCATCCTTACACCAGTACCCAATACTCAAAGAGTAAATCAGTCTTCAGACTTACATAAATAAGTAGAAACTTCAAGGGAAAGAAAATACCAAACTGAAGATAGTAGTTATCTTTGTGGGGACATAAGGAAGAATTGGGGAAGAATACAAAAGGGGCTTCTGTTGTATTTGTAATGTTTTATTTCTTCACTGCAGGGGAGAGCAAAGAGGATAGTTTACAATGTGTTTTTTTAAAAACAATAATCAAATGATAAAGAAGCTGGACTTAAAAGTTTAATCAACATTTGGGGTCAGTACAGATTCTACTTTTGTCTTTAGTACTTTAAAATAAACGTTAATATTCAGAAGGACAACACACAGATGGCAAAATTTTAAAGTGCTCTCTGAGGCAAAGACTAGATTTCATTAGTAAGCACTTCAGTTCTAATACAGCACCTATCACTGTTGAATGGGTAGCTCTAATACAGCACCTATCACTCTTGAATGGGTAGCACAAACAAGAATCCCACTATACTCAAAGAGTTGTATGCCTGTTTGTTATGATTACACAAAATAATAATTTAAATGGTTTGTTACATAGAAAACCAGGTCTGAGGAGGAGGTGGAGCAAAAGACGAAACTTTGTTCCAAATATAATTATCAGGGATAAGAGGGGTGTTGATTCAGATTGGAGGAGAAATCATTCTTTAATTCAACTACAAACTGCAGCAGGGACCCTGAGCAAAACATCTTAGGTTACTCTAAGAGGGAAATGATACCTGCCAAATGCAACAAGGAAGCCCCTCAGGCTATACTCTAGGGATCTCATGGAAAAGGCTCCTTTGAAATGAGTCACCCAACATATCAGTGGTTGGAGCTGAGCAAAGGGCTGACTACAAAGGAGCATGGTAAAGATTTTTAGGGTGATACAGCTTTCCCATACCTTGATAATGGTGGTGGTTACACAACTATATACATTTAAAGCAGGGTTTTACTGCACGTAAACTATACTTAGATAAAAAAATTCATTCCAGGCCGGGCACGGTGGCTCACGCCTGTAATCCTAGCTCTCTGGGAGGCCGAGGCGGGCGGATTGTTTGAGCTCGGGAGTTCAAGACCACCCTGAGCAAGAGCGAGACCCCATCTCTACTAAAATTAGAAAGAAATTAATCAGACAACTAAAAATATATATAGAAAAAAAATTAGCCGTGCGTGGTGGCGCATGTCTGTGGTCCCAGCTACTTGGGAGGCTGAGGCAGAAGGATTGCTTGAGCCTAGGAGTTTGAGGTTGCTGTGAGCTAGGCTGACGCCACGGCACTCTAGCTCAGGCAAAAGAGTGAGACTCTGTCTCAAAAAAAAAAAAAAATTCATTCCATTCTTTGCTCCACCTCCTCCTGATGACAAATTAGAACAGCTCTTTAGACCTAAAGGAGGCAATGGCAGAGATCTGGAATGTGGAAAATCAGATTATAAGAACGGAGTAAATTATATATGCAGGAGTCCATGACAAACAAAGTAAATGTACATTACATATCAATAAAAAATGTGGGGAAAAAAGTAGAAAACTAAGGGGTAGAACTGTGGGACAAAGAAGTAGGTCAAAAGCCATCTAACATGTACCAAAGACAGTGCTTCCAGATATGGTATCTGGGTCATAAATGCCATCTGTTGAAAGAAAAACTAGAAGACATTGATACTTAATATGCGTAGTTACTATTAGGGAGTGTCATATATTCTGCTACTATAATATTAATAGAAGAGTTACAAGGATAAAAAGGAAATAAAACAAAAAGACAACCGTCTCAAAAAAAATTAATGAATAAAATCACCAGCAGCTCCTTTACGTAATACTAAAAAAGTTTAGAAAGAGCTGGATGGAGATTCTAGTTTCCTTGCCCCACTCTGCTCCCACAGGCCAAACACCAATTCAGAGGACAAAGCAGGTCTCACCCTTGTGCCTCTTTTAAAGGTAAGAAAGCCTTCTATAAAAAAGTCATCAGTATATTTCTCCTAATATCCCACTGGCCAAAACTGTACCACATGTTCATTCCTAAACCAATCACTAGTAGAAGTAAAATTATTATGGTTGGTTTAGGTCACAGATTCTCAAATCTGTCCACATATAAGAATCATGTAGGGGTTTCTGAAACTTATTGATTACCTGAGCCCTATTCCTGAGATTCTGATTTAATTGACCTGGTATCGGCCTTTAGCACTGGCATTTACTTTTAAATTCCCTAGGTGCTTTTTAATGTACAGCAAAGGCTGAAAATGTGGAAAGTATTGGAGGAGGAACCAGTGATGTACCTCCTATGTATTCTGGTTCTGAGAACCGCACCCACTCTCAAGAGGTAGAACACCAGCCTGCATATTTATATGGAACATTTCCACCCAACAAGGATTTAACCACTGGTACAGTCCCAAGTCAAACTACCCAGATTCTCTCTCCCAAGAATATAATCATTCAAACAGTACCTTTCCCTATGATGTACATATTTCTATACGGTAGATGAGTAACATAGTTAAGTTGTACCAATTACTTACCTAATGCGCATCTAAGCTGGGGCTGAAGTCTAACAAAAATTTTATCTCTGACTTCATTCAGACAGGTCTCTATCTCCGCATATATTTCTGAAGCAAGTTTTTTACAATCTCCATCTAAAAAATACACACATTATCAATGCACATCTTTCCATAGAAAACTGAGACATTAATAAAACCAAAAGTTTATCAGAGTAAGTTTTACAAAGAGACAAAAAGCAAAACACAAAACTTCCTTAATTATTCCTCCTCTGGGTATCTTGTATATTCCCTTAATATTTATTATCAGCACAAAATCATTAATACTTACTGCCTGGGTAAAATCTCAGTGAAAGCCTTTTTCACCCAAATAATCACAGGACTAGTATTAATAAAATAGTTAACCTCTCAGATATTGTGCATCTCTGAAACAGTTGAAGCTATCTCTTTATGTGCTATTACTACTTATGCTAGGAACAGAATCACTTATTCTACTTTGTGTAACTTCTACTGAATTTAGCTAGGTTGTAAGAACAGATAAATTTATGAGGAATCTTAATGAAGTTATGATTCTTTCGCAAACTAATATTTGGTATTTTTCCCTCCTATGTCTTTTCTGAGGGGTGTGGGTGGTCTTCAGTAGCATCCTAGTCTTTATTTCATTCCATATATCCGTTTTTCCACACATATTTACTTCATTAAAAACTGCAAGCTATTTATTACACTGTGACTGAAACAGCCTTATTAATCATTCTCCCATTGCTAGACATTTGTTTCTTTTTTTCACTATTATAAATACCACTGTGATAAACATCTTTGGGCAAACGTCTGTCCATGTTTTTGATCACTTCTTTAGAGTAGAAGTCCTCAAAATGTAATTACCATGACAAGAAACTATTCAGCATTAATAAGAAAATTATTTTGAATAAAAGCCTCCATATGCATGTGACTCTAGTTACTCTTAAGCTATAAATGGATCTTTACACTCAAATCTCTTATAAATAATTCATATAGGCTGGGCGCGGTGGCTCACGCCTGTAATCCTAGCACTCTGGGAGGCTGAGGTGGGTAGATTGTTTGAGCTCAGGAGTTCGAGACCAGCCTGAGCAAGAGCGAGACCCCGTCCCTACTAAAAAAAAAAAAATAGAAATTAGCTGAACAACTAAAAATATGCATATAAAAAATAAGCCGGGCATAGTGGCACATGCCTGTAGTCCCAGCTACTCTGGAGGCTGAGGCAGAAGGATTGCTTGAGCCCAGGAGTTTGAGGTTGCTATGAGGTAGGCTGATGCCATGGCACTCTAGCCCGGGCAACAGTGAGACTCTGTCTCAAAAAAAAAAAAAAAATAATTCATACAGCCTGATCACACGCTGCTTATGTATTTCACTAATGAAAATATCTGTATTCTCCTGTAAAATGAAATAAGCATTAACCAGAATTTTTGTTAACCATGCCAAAAAAAATTTACAATACAAGGGAATGCAGCTCAAATATAATTAACAATCAGATTATAAAAACTACAACTATTCTGTAAAAAGATAAAAATATAAAATTAAAACTAATTTCAATATTGAATTATTGCTGTTCTGCAATAATCAACTGAATGACTATCACCTACTCAGCACTGGGGTTCCTGTAATTATAGGAAACAGAAACAGAAAACTCAAAGGTGAAAATATCTGAGAAATGAATTTTTAAAACTGCAAAAAGTTGCAAATGACTAACACATTTTAAAAAATTGAGTCTCAAAGGAACCCAAACTGAAACAAAACATTTGTCACCTAACAAAATCATTTTAAACATTTATACCCTAAGGTTAGGATATAAAGGTTAGGGTTAGAATGCTGAGAAATTTTCTTCTACATAATGAAAACAGAATTATATGTTGGTAGAACCCTTCTGAAAAGCCATTCAGTAAGACCCTTAATATTCATATTTTAATATCCCTCCTAGGATATTAATCAACAATGGATTAAAAGATACATGGGTATTTGCCCTGATGTTAATTCATAATAGCAAAACTTGGTCAGCAGCCTGAATGGTCAACAATGGAGCAATGTACAGGGATCCATATAAAAGACTGCATGATCAAAGTCACGCTTTTCAGCATATTAAAGAAAGCTTGGTATGATGTCATGTCTGTCAAAAAAATATACGCACAAGATCAGAAAAAAAAATACACCAAGATACTTCCATCAAATATGTTGAATAAAGGTGAAGATTCTTGCCCTACAAGATAGCGAGACTTAAAAAGCCGCCAAAATTTAAACAGTGTGGCTGTAGGGATAGAAAAAGTGGCCAAGAGAACAAAATTGAGAGTTAAGGAATAACGGCACACACATATGGAATGTTAATGTGACAAAGGTGGCATGACAGATCAACTGAGGAAAAAAAAAGTAGAGCTATTTAATGGAAAGACTGGCTATGCAAATGGAAAAAAAATGGATCCTTACCTCACACCATAATACATAAATATTAACTCCAGCTGAATTAAAAATTTCAAAGTTAAAGCAAAACTTTATTCATTTTTCGGCAGAAATACAGATAAATCATTTTCTGATCTTGGGAAAAGGAAAGATTTCTTTAAAAAGCCACAAACATCACTAGCTCCAAAAGGAAAGCTAAATACTTCCTTGTAAATTAAGACAGCTTTTAAAAAGTAAAAACATTAAGCCACAAATTGAGAGAAGATTCAGCAACACTTATCTGACATAAAAATAGCAAAAAGGATGTACAAAAACTCATATAAATCAATAAGAACATGACAATCAAGAGAACAAACAGGGTAATATACCAACAGGCATTTCATAGAAGAGGGAACAAATAGGATCAACATAAACATGAAGAGCCAACAAATTCTCTAAAATCTGGGAAAGGCAAATCAAGATCACAGATCATTTTACCCCATTTAAATAGCAAAAATCTCAAAGTATGAAAATAATCAAGGGACAATATACAGATCCAGAAGATGTCTTATACACTGTTAATGGGAGTATTAACTGGTACAATCACTTTAGAAGACAATTGCCATTATCTTCTAAATCTGGACTCAGAACCTATGATCTGGCAATTCCATTCATATGGTACACTGAAGGGAAACGCTTGTACCATGCCCCAGGAGCCCTGCCCAAGAATGGCCATAGCAGTAAGATTCATTGTGGCAAAAAATAACCGCATTGACCACTGACAGGTGGATGAATAAACAAACTGGTATTATTTACCAAATGGAAATATTATACAGCAATGAAAATCAATGAAGTACAAGCAGCTTCAAAGATAAATCTTTACAAAAAGGAAAACAAAGGTCCCAGAAGGCATGCTGCATGATATCCTTCTTACAAAGTTCAAAAGAAACCAAATGAGGCACTACAGTAGTCCCTCCTTATCTGCGGTTTTGCTTCCTGTGGTTTCACTTACCCGCAAGTCAACCACAGTCTGAAAACATTAAATGGAACATTCCAGAAATAAACAATTCATAAGTTTTAAATTTCATGCCATTCTGAGTAGCGTAATGAAATCACGAACTTTCCCGTTCTGTCCCGCCCAGTAAGTGAATCCTCCCCTTGTCCAGATTATCCATGTTGCCTACACTCCTCGCCCATGAGGCATTTAGCAGCCTTCTAGATTATCAGATTGACCAGGGAGGTATTGCAGTGCTTGTGTTCAAGTCATTATTTGACTTAATAACGGCCCCACAGTGCAAGAGTAGTGGTGCTGGCAATTCAGACACTCCAAAGAGAAGCTGTAAAGTGCTTCCTTTAAGTGAAAAAGTGAAAGTTCTTGACCTAGTAAGGAAAGAAAAAAAATCACATGCTGAGGTTGCTAAGGTACACAGTAAAAACGAATCTCTTATCTGTGAAATTGTGAAAAAGGAAAAAGAAATTCATGCTAGTTTTGCTGTCGCACCTCAAATTGCAAAAGTTACAGCCACATTGCGTGGTAAGTGCTTAGTTAATACGGAAAAGGCATTAAATTTGTGGGTGGAAGACATGAACAGAAACATATTCCAATTGACGGCAAGGAGTTGAGCCAGATTAATCTTAACTACACTTGATCATTAATTATGTATGTACAGGAAAAAAAAAGTATATATAGGGTTCAGTACTATCTGTCCCTCCGTATCCGTGGAGAATACCTTCCAAGACCTCCAGTGAATGCCTGAAACCTCAGATAGTACCAAACCCTATATATACTATGTTTTTACCTATACAAATATACCTATGATCAGGTTTAATTTATAAATTAGGCACAATTATTGTGATGAGAGATTTTGGGGGGTTGGAAAATTATGAGTGACTTTTATTTACTTCTTCATTCTGTTTTTCAGTAATTTAAACACTTAAAATTTTACTTTGATGACCATTATGGTCTTGATAGGCTGTAAGACACAACCACAGCCTCTTTTTCCTTTAGTTTTTGGAAAAAAACTGCCTTTGGGCAGTTATGATAATATAACTGGTGTTACCATAAGCTTCATGATACTGTCCTTGGACTCCCTGCTCCCAGATCTGTACATAAAACAGAAGCTACCAATGGCATCTTTCCCACCTGCTGTGAGACAAACTGCAACATTAACGTCTTTAAAAATTGAAGAGAAATAAAATATTAGTGCCAACCTGGAACTCCATCCAATTGATTCTCACACAAAAGCTTATTTGCTTGATTATATTTTGTGAACAGCTGCCAGAATACAGATTCCTCCTTAGAGCACAGTTCAGTCACAGTGTTCTTTAACCTTTCTAAGTGCACCAAAGCTGACAGGATACAGTCTAACCAACAGAGAGCATAAGCATTTTTCCACTGGACACGTAAAGTCTGGCGAAATGATGTACATTTGCTCCCCAACGGCATTTCCAGTTCAGATGTGTATCCTTCATTTTGAGGGGAAATTCCCCCAGTTCCAGAGACATCAATTGTAGTAGGATCTTTTTCAGTAGCCGGGTCAACAGTATCAGCTTCCAAAATCTCATTCTGCTCCAAGCAATCAGCTGTCCTAATTGGATTTGATGAGCTGTCACCATATACTTCTCCATTATGTTTGCTGTTCAAAATTTGTTCACCATCGGTAACGATATGATTTCTAGTCTTTTTGGAATTTGCTAAAAGAAGTGAATCTTTACAGCTGGTTTCCAAGATCTTTCTTTTTCGAGGCTTACTTGGAGTGTGACACTCTTCCGAATCAGGAGAAATTAGGTTAGTAAGTGATTTAGAGCCCAAAGGATAGATGCACTAAAAAGAAAAAATAAAATGATAAAAACCACAAATAACAAATAGCTCAAGTTTTACTTTACAGTTTCTATATCATGGAAAATATGTGTAAGATTTTAGCATTAATTTGACGTGCGGTGTATTTTATCCACCTAAATCTGAACTAGAGACAAATACAACTATTTAAGAAAAAATCTGGCCCCCAAAAGAACAATTTTTCTTAGTTAATTTGAAAAATCAAGGGTTTACCCTGAGTTACACGAGGAAAGCTAACAAGGAAAACATACATATTTTTGCTTTAATAAAAAATCTAATGTGAAGTAAATTAAAAATTTTCAACAATGTAAAGAAACGCTCTATAATAAAATGTTATTCTTTTGGGACAGACACACTGCATAACACTAAAAGTTTGAAAAGTATTTTCAAATTAAAAAATATCTTATATTTTGAAACTAAATATGAATCTGAGAGCACTGCTGTTCTTTCGATTTTTTTTTTTAAGCAACGCAGTCTATGTTGCCCAGGTTGGTAGCAAACTTCTGGGCTCAAGTGATCCTCCCGCCTCAGCAGAGTCCCTGGGATTACAGGTGTGCACCACTGTACCGGCTGTAGTTCCATCATCCTTATTGGGTTTAGAGTCAAACTGGCTGAATTTTAATGACCTTGTCAAATCTTACTGTGCATTAATACAATTTCAGCCAAATATCGAAAATGTAAACAAATTACTAAAATAATCAGTGAATCTTTCCTAAATTTACAAACTACCAGAATATTTTTACAAGATAAATTCAAGAAATCTATACTCTAAATGCCTTCATTTAAAATACGCCTTCTTTTACATAAGTATGGTAGACTGCTACCTTAATGGCCCCCAGTGACCTAAAGAACTACACCTCCTGGTAATTCATGCCATCCCATAGACTCAGCTTGGCCATGTGACTAGCTCTGATGGGAGATTAGCACACATGATGCCCATGGAAGCCTGACTGATAGGCACTGGCTCACTGGGCTTGTCCTCTTGGGAGCCCTTCTGGAACACTTCATCTCAGTCCCAGCTGTCATGCTGTGAAGAGCCCAATGAGCATCATGGAGAGACCCTCATGAAAAAGAACTGAGACCCCTGGCTGACTGCCTGAGCAGAACTCCTAGCCAGCAGCTAATATCAACTGCCAGGCATGTGGACATTTCAGTTGTCCGAACCAACATGGTGTGAAGTATAAGAATTGCCTTGTCAACCCTCAGAATCATGAGAATAAATGAAGCCATTAAAATCTGTAAGCCACTAAGTTTCAAGGTGATTCATTTCACAGCAACAGATAAATGAAATGCAGTAAATCCCCTCATGTAGCTTCTTCTATACAACTGAACACTACACTCATAATACCACACTTATGAAATTCTTTAGTATAAACAGGCAAGTTCTAGATTCTTCTGTGAACAACTACCTGCAGTCACCATCAACTAACAATCTGACTGACCATCAACTTTATACCTTGAGATTATTTCCTAGATCCTACCATATGTCAGAAAACTGCGAACACTTTAAAATCAATAGCAATAACTGTGTATTCAAAATATCACAAAAGGTACATATTCAAAAAAATTGAAAGTAGGATTTCACAGAGATATCTGCACACTCATGTTCATTGCAGCATTATTCAAAGACCCAAAAATTGGAAGCAACTCAAATATCTGCAGACAGGTCAATGGATAAAGAAAATTCAGCAGATAAATACAATTCAGTATTATTCAGCCTTAAAAAGGAAGGAAATCCTGTCACATGCCACAACATGAACCTTGAGGACATTATGCTAAGTGAAACAAGCTAGTCACAAAAAAAGGCAAATACTGTATGAATCCATTTACATGAGGTACTTAAAGAGTAGTCAGATTCACAGAAACAGAAGTAGAATGGGGCTGCCGGGGGATATAGGAGAGGAAATTGGGAAATAGTT